AATAAACTTCTATCTACAAACTCTTTAAAAGTTTCTAGTCTTTGGACTAGATTAATTTTAAAACTCAAGCAGAATCTTAGTATCTCTTTTCCTTGAACTCTAAGATTAAACAGAAATGGTTGTAACATCTTGGTATTATTATATAATACCAAGAATTAGTATTTTACTTTTTCCTGCATAGGTACTCAAGATAGCACCTAGGCCCCATCTTTTCTTTTTTAAAGATTTATTTTATTTATTTGAAAGGCAGATTTACAGAGAGAGAGAGGGAGAGACAGGTCTTCTATCGGCTGGTTTACTCCCCAAATAGCCACAAAGGTCAGGGCTGGGTCAGGACAAAGCCAAGAGCCAGGAGCTTCCTCCAGGTCTCCCATGGGTGCAGGGACTCAAGCACTTGGACTATCCTTGGCTGCCCTTCCAGGCACATTATTAGGGAGCCAGACCGGAAGTGGGATACCAGTGCTGCAGGTTACGGATTAACCCACTACCCTAACAGCATTGTCCCAAGCCCCCCCCCTTTTTTTTTTTTTTTCTTTTTTTGACAGGCAGAGTGGACAGTGAGAGAGAGAGAGACAGAGAGAAAGGTCTTCCTTTGCCGCTGGTTCACCCTCCAATGGCCGCCATGGCCAGCGCGCTGCGGCCGGCGCACCGCGCTGATCTGATGGCAGGAGCCAGGAGCCAGGTGCTTTTCCTGGTCTCCCATGGGGTGCAGGGCCCAAGCACCTGGGCCATCCTCCACTGCACTCCCTGGCCACAGCAGAGGCCAAGCCCCTTCTTTCACACTGTTGTCATTAACTTTTCAAATGCAAAAAGTGACATAATATTCAGCTTTGATCTCTTAAAGCAATTTGTGCTTTGATTTTAACATCTTAGGAAAACCAAGGGTAACAAGGTCTATATATTTTCTTAAGAGAACCAACTAAATCTTAAACTTAATTAAAATTGGATCAGTTTTAATTATTTTTTTTAATTTTACAATGGTACAGAAGATATGAATTCAGTAAAAACCATACTTTGAATCTTGATCTTCTGAGTCTTTGATCTTTTACCAAGTGAGTAATATGTGGTGTGATGCTCTTTCATTAATGCTTGTAAGTGACAGCAAGCTGCATTCCCAGTGAACCACAAGATCAGGAGGGTAAATAATTGATGCTCTATAGGGTACTATGTTTTTACAATGTTTTGTAGGTTAGATGTATTAAATGTACATAACCTATATTTTCAACTTGTGGTGAATGGGTTTATCAGAATTCCATTCTAAGTTGAAGACCATTTGTCTATGCTATACATCCTTGAATTCAACATAGTACACACACAAATATTTTTTCACAGAACCCACATAGTGTATATTTTTCTGTTTACTTATCCTTGCATAGAGATTGATCCATGATAACTCTAATAGACTGGTTTCATGAGCCCCCGAGTCTCCTTATTGTCTGATATCCCTTTCCCTAGACTTATATCATTTAGGAGGCTTGATACTCACCAAACCTATGTAATTTCTCGTATCTGACTGGGTGAGCCTTTTTTTTTTTTTTTTTTTTTACTACTGCTGCCTAGTTTCATAATTATAAGGACAGAATTTATTCTAGAGAGTTTGAGGCTGCCTGTTGTTTATGTACAACATGTGGAAATTTATATACTCCTGGTATGCTGGGAACTGCAAAGAACAGACTTTTCCTGTCTCTGCCCTCCAGAATATAGTACTTTATACTTGTCCTCTTCCTTCTCCCTTAGATTTTCCTAAGGTAGAATGACACAGGAATTTTAGTCTGTAAATTAATTGACAAGACATACTAACAATACTGAAATTTGGCAACTGTTAAGAAGACGGTGGTGGTAGAATATTTTTGTAAAGTAGAGATAGTTGCTAATTTTAAGGTGAGTGCATGTTCTGGGCCTCTGAGCTAGAAGTAGTCAATGGTAGTAGTTCCTATCCTCTTCCAATTTACTTCTGAATCATATTGCCTTCCCAAAGGATAAGCTGTATACAGTCTACTAGCTGTGTTTTTCTTTTGTCAGTGCTTTAATTCAAAGAAATTCCTCATAGCTTGGAAGGTGGTTAAATATTATCTTTAATATCCATGTTTTTCACACAGACAGCTGGTATACATGGGAGTTAAATTGAATGAACTTTTAAAGATGAACTAAAATTATAATTTCCTCATTTTAAATATCTCAATCCTCATAAGAACAATTTTAATAGATACATATACTGACAAAAATGGACATACACTGAGAAAACAAAATCAGTTTAGAATTCTCCACTCATACCCTTCATACCATGGGATCAGATATTCATTTTAAAGCATAATAGTTTATATTCCAAGACACACACAGTTTTCCTTTTGATCCTTCCTACAATCTTGCTCACTGGGATAATTTTGACATGTTCTCTTACTTCATTGACTTTAAAATTTAATTCAGTACAAGATGTGACTGCTGAATTAGGGAATGATAGTCCTATTAATTTTCCATATTTAATCTAGTAACCTCTATACTGGTCTGATTTGTATTTGTTTTTGGATTTAATTTGACAGACTATATAGAATGTGGTTTATAGTCAATAGTTGTTTCTGAGAAACAGTACTTCACAGCAGTTAGAATTGTGCTCTGTATAAGGTCTCTATAGTTTTGACATCCAAAATTCCTACTTTGAGAATACACCTAATTAACATTCATAAAATTGCAATCATTGGAGTTTTAAAAAAATGACTTATGCTTATAAAAATAACAGCCTCAAATCCTTCAAAGAATATTTCTACCTTTCTACTTTAAAAGTCATCAAGGTTTTTGGCATCAGGAAAAATGTGTATAAGAGTAAAAAGGCTAATGTCCCAAATGTCATTCATTAATATTTTATTTAAATATTAGCTATCTTTAACACATTTTTAGAAAGATTATTTTCTAATGATGTAACAATATCTGTATATTGATGTTACAATACAAATGCCCTATAAATAAGAGTGGGTAATTTGCCATAGAATAAAATTTTTATAGTGAAGCATTTGTACAGAGTTCTAAAAAATATAGAAGTGGATTTGGAGTTTTATTCCTTAGTGGTACATTATTTTATATTGGGGGCCACTAAAAAACCTAAAGAAAAATATTCAATATAAAATGCATAGAACATTCAATCTTGAAAGTAAAAATTTGAAATGCAAAACTCTATGTGATAGCTCAATGTTACAGTTTTGACTTTGCTGGTTTATTACATTTTTTTCTTTCTAATAAAGTAGAATTGGTATAATTTTTTTTTAATTTGAAAGGGAGAGAGAGAACGAATCTATCTGTTGGTACAAATGCAAGCAATAGCTAGGGTTGTGCTAGGCCAAAGTCTTGAGCTGAGGGTGGAATCCAGGTCTCCCACATTGGTGGTGGGAACCTAAATTCTTGAGCCATTACCTGCAGCCTTCCAGGGTATGCATTAGTAGGAAGAATTGAGAGCAGAGCCAGGGCTCAAACCCAGGCACTCTGATATGGGATGCAAATGTCTCAAGTGATATCTTAAATGCTGTGCCAAATACCTACCCCAGAACTGGTAATGTTCATCATAAGTAACATCATAAGTTCTGTGTACAATTTCTCCTGTTACATATTCAACAGATCTTACAAAATTTTTAAAAAGTACACTCTTGAACTAGAGGATTTAAGCTTTAAGAATATTTAATATTAATGTTCTTTGGAAATTTCTCCTATTCTAGTCCTTATTACTCATTCTCTATTTGAATTATTCAATCAGTACAACTTCAAGTATTTGGGATACTCTATCTATCTATCTATCTGTTTATCTATCATTTATATCAGAAACTGAAAATAACAAACACTCATCTAATAGGGTATAGTAATATCAGCTATTTACAGAGAAATATATTTGAGATAAATGCTAACAACAGAGAAAGTCTGTTTCAGAAAATTTTCTAAAAATACTGAAAATTAAGTTTATATAAATAAGATTTAGGTAACATCTTAAATTTTGACAGGAGGTAAAAATTATGATTCTATTTCATGTTGCAGTGGTTAAGAGCAGTGAAAGCAATACAGTGAGCCATAATGGTAATGAATGGTGATGGGGTATGTAGACTGTTTTGGTATTAAGTTCAACACACAAGAGAGGTCAGCAGCATAAACAGGAGCATGAGCTAATCTAATCTCTACCATTTTATTGCAAACAGTATGGCTACTTTTGTCACCAAAATACAGTGTACACAAGTTTCATTTCAACAGTTAAACAATCTGTGGTTCTTTACTGGAGATAAAGTCCATTTCCCTAAAGTGAAGTTATAAGAATTTAACTAAGAGACAATCATAGGGAATAGGAAGAATTCTCTGCTACATAGGAGATAGTCAAAATATAGAAATATTGAATATACATACAGATCTAACTAGATCATCATTCTTTGGCCTGAGATCTGATTTAGGAAGCATGAACACAATTTCCAAGCTATAAGAGGAGACTACTAACTGTTTTCATCTCTCTATAAATGTTATATGCCATCAGCATAGATAATTAAAATCTGAGCATATAAAATCGTAGAATTTTGCAATTTCACAGAGACAGTTATAAGGTTTACCAGGCACTGGGAAGAGGGGAGAAGAGTAAGGAGGAATTACTGCTTAATGGGTACAGAGTTTCTAATTAGGGTATGGAAATGTTTAGAAATAGTGGTGATGGTTGTACAGCACTGTGAAAGTAATTAACACAAGTGAACTGTACATTTAAAATGATTAAAATGGTAAATTTTAAGTCATATATACTTTATGGTAACATGATAAAAATTTTGAACATGTATGTTTTCTAACTTTCTCAGACTACTGAAGAGAAATTGTAATAGTTTAGAATTATATTTTCTTCACATGAAAAGTTCACTAATTTTGTACTCTAATAAAAAATGGTATACAAATATCCAAGTAAGGTTTCCTTCCCAAAAGTGCAAACTGGAAAACTGGAAATATAGCTGAAGAAAAACAGAAAAAAACAATCAAAACCAACTTCTTACTTTAATTGGTTCAGGCTGCATCACAGGTGCAGGCATAGCAATGGCACTTGGAGTGTAAACCTGGTGATATGTTGCTTGAACTCCATGATCAGAATAAGGCTATTATAAAAAGAAGAAACAAAAGAATGTATTTCCTTGCATTTATTAATTCAAAATATCTATTAAATATTTGCAATGTATTAACAATTTTGCTATACAATGGGAAATGCAGATAAAAACAAATTCCCTGTTTAAGTAACTTATAGTATGATTTAGAAATAAATAGCAGCCAAAATTCCTTATGGAAAAGAACCACTTCATTTTGCTAATGAATGTTAGGGAGGGTGATCAGAGAGTTTCCTAGTAGAGTTGATGACTGAATTTGAAGAATTAGGGAAAGAGGCTGAATGAGCAAAGGCACAGAGGCAAATACCATACCTCATTTGGGAGATCTTCCTAGGTTAGTATGGCCAAAAGGAAGATTATACACTAAGGGACAACTGAAAGGCATGACTTAGAGCAACAGGCAGGGGACAGATCACGTAAAGCTTGTCCAACAGATGGTGGTACCATTCACCAAGAGATGGAATACAAGGAAAGTTTGATATTTATGTAATGTTATGAAGGGGTTGGAGAGAAGGAGTTAGTTTTGTGGCATTTAAAGTTTGTAGTATTTTTAGGAATTCTAATAGAAGTGTACTGAGAAAGATGGAGCAAGCACTGTCCAATAGAAATATATTATTTGAAGTTTTCCAGAAGCCATTTGAGAAAAGATAATCAGGGATAATCAGCTTTTAATAATACATTTTATTTAAGAAATATATTCAAAAATTATGTCATACCAAACTCAAACCAATGTAATTATTGGGGTTTATATTATTTTTTTCATACCAAGTCTTCAAAACTTGGTGTGTATTTTACACTTACAATAGATCTCAATTTGTTGTCATGTTTCAAGTGCTCAATTGCCACATGTGGCTAATGGCTAGTGTATTGAATAGTATAATGTAAAACTCAGTGAGGTTTGTGCTAGAGATATCATAGTGAGTATAAAGGATGAAAGAATGGGAGACAAAATACAAAATCATGGGGAACATAAGATCAGAAAAATAATAGGATACAAAAGGATTGCTAGAAGAGAGCAGTAGCATAGAAACTAAGGATAGGAGGGATTTAAATGAGCATGTGCGATGGCTGAGAAGTGAAGTAAGATTAAGGGAAATATTTGGCAAGTAAGAAGTCATTGAGGACCTTTATCAAAGCAGCTTCAGCAGATGAGGGGTGAATAGGTAGTGGAGTAGTTAAAAAACTGTGGTAGACTACTTTTTCAAGAAGCTTGGCTTTGAAAGGTAGAAGAGAATTAGGGTATTGGTAGGGGTGTGTGTGTCACAGGATAGTAATGGTCTCTTACAAGATTCTAGGCACTCTTCTTACATGTTAAAGTGATCATATTAAGTGTGTAATTGATCATATAGACAGGATTAAGTGTCAAAGAGATAAATAAGAACAAATGTATGGTAATAATAGATAGAATTAAAAAGGAGCAAATGTTCCAACATGGGAAGTAGTCTACACAGAACTTATAGAATGACAAACGCCCTAAACAGAAGTCTGACCTCAGACTCAGCCCTTAAGGCATTTGGATCTGGCTGAAAAGCCAATGAGAGCATTTCAGGCATGGAAAGCCAAGACATTATGGCAAAAAATGTTCTACATGAAGGATCTCTGTGAGTGAGACCCCGGTGGAAAGAAGGGGCCATCAAAGAAGGATGTACTTTCTCTGAAGGGAGGAGAGAACTTCCACTTTAAGGCTTATGGCCTTGTCTAAATACTGACGGAGTTTATGAATTCAAAAGGCCTCCATAGCCTAGTCAGCTTGTGTCAAGAGCCTTGGTGGTCAGCTCCGGTCATTGTGGCCATTTGGGGAGTGAATCAGCGGATGGAAGACCTCTCTCTCTCTCTGCCTCTCCTTCTCTCTGTAACTCTGACTTTCAAATAAATAAATTAATCTTTAAAAAAATCACTGAAATAAGTGAGTGTAGATGTTAACATATATTTTTAAGGAAAACTGACTATAATACTCACAAAAATTACTGTAGTTTTTTAAAATTAAGAATAATTTTAGAGGCAGAGAGAGAGAGAGAGAACGAGCAAGTGACAGTGAGCTAGTTCTCATCCCTTGGTTAATTCCAAATACCTACAGTGGCTCTAGCATGGGCCAGAAAGGCTGGCACATAGTCAGGGTTGGGAATGCAATCTCCTTCATGGGTGGCAGGAAGCCAACTACTTGAGTCATCATTTCACCACTACCTCCCAGGTCCTTAGCAGCATTAGCAGCAAGCTGGAGTTAGGAGTAGAGCCAGGGAACAAATCCAGGCACTCTGACATGGGACATGGTAATCTTAACTGGTAGACAAATGTCTACTCTCTTGAAGTTTTCAAATTTTTTTTAAAAAGATTTATTTATTCATTTGAAAGGCAGAGTTAGAGAGAGAGAGAGAGAGAGAGAGAGAGAGTTAGTCTTCCATCCACTGGTTCATTCCCTAAATGGCCACAATGGTCAGAACTGAGCCGATCCGAAGTCAGGAGCCTCTTCTGGGTCTCCCACATGGGTGCAGGGGCCCAAGGACTTGGGTCATCCTCTGTTGCTTTCCCAGGTGCATTAGCAGGGAGCTTGTTTGGAAGAGAAGCAGCCAGGACTAAAATTAGCACCCATATGGGATATGTTGGCATTGCAGGTTGGAACTTTAACCTGCTGTGCCACAGAGCTGGCCCCGTGGGTTTTCAAATTTAGGGGAAAAAAAAAAACCACTTAAAGATTATAAACCTCCCTACTCTGTTCTTTAAATTATGTAGTGTTATGGTTTTTCTCCCCCAGGGTTTATGTGTTGGAAGCTTGGTTCCTGCTACAGTGATGTTAAGAGGTGGTGGTACCTTTAAGAGGTAGATCCTAGTAGATTTTTAGGTCACTGAAGACATGTACTTGAAAGGGATTCAGGTAGTTCTTATGAGAGGGTTGTTATAAGCCTGTTTCCCAGTTTTTCTGGCTGGGATCTGATCTGGTCATATGATCTGACCTTCTTGCACGTGCTCCCATCATTTTGGTGCTGTCTGTCACGAGGTTCTCAACAGAGCCTACTTCCAGAACTGTGAGTTAAATAAGCTTCTTTTCTCTATACAATTATCCAGCCTCAGAAATTTCATTATAGCAGCAGAAAACTAATGTAATTGGTCAGACTGTATCTTCTCCCAAAAACAATATTAAAATAAAATCATACAAATATCATTTCTAGGGAAACGCCATTAAAAAGTGTAAATTATGACAATAATGAGCAATACTTTCAGAAAAATCTTATTAGATTCCACTAATATGCCCTGATAATAAGTTTCTGATGTCAAGAATGAAGAATATGGTGTAAGGCTGAAAGTATATTCTGGCTAAATATCTAATGTATAAATGCTTTATCTTACTAGAAAAACAACAGAATTAAAAATTCCACCATAAATTAAATAATAAAATGCCCATAATTCCTAAGCCACAAAAAATGTAGAATGTCTTCCAAGAGTTGAGCAATTTGGACCAATATGAAGCTTCTAGGTCTCTTCAGATATCAGGGAAGATAAAGATTTCAGTAGAGGTTTATGTTCTGAAAGAGCTATTCAAAGTTTCCTTAAGTCTTTTTTTTTGACAGGCAGAGTGGATAGTGAGAGAGAGAGAGACAGAGAGAAAGGTCTTCCTTTTGCCGTTGGTTCACCCTCCAATGGCTGCCACGGCTGGTGCTCTGCGGCTGGCGCACCACACTGATCCGATGGCAGGAGCCAGGTGCTTCTCCTGGTCTCCCATGGGGTGCAGGGCCCAAGCACTTGGGCCATCCTCCACTGCCTTCCTGGGCCACAGCAGAGAGCTGGCCTGGAAGAGGGGCAACTGGGACAGAATCCAGCACCCCGACTGGGACTAGAACCTGGTGTGCCGGCGCCGCTAGGTGGAGGATTAGCCTATTGAGCCGCGGCGCCGGCCCTTAAGTCTTTAGTGTAGAAGAAAGGTCACCTTAAGGGAATGGTCACATCAAGGGAATATTTCTGTAGTGATTCAATTTCACACCACTTAGTAAGAAGGGAAGTAGAATTGACGGGGAAATCACGTGTATACCATTTCTGTTGTCTAATATCTAGCCTTCTAGCTGAGGAACACTGCTGGAGGTGAAGCTGAGTGAGCAAAAGTAGCAATAACTACATCTGTATGTAGACAAAAAAGGATTTTAGTAGGAATCAAAATGATCTCCAATGAGGAGTATGTGGAGAAAAGGACCTCTGTACACTACTGGTGGGAATGTAAATTAGTACAGTTATTTTGGAAAACAGTATGTAGCTTTCTAAAAAAATGATTACACATGATCCAATAATCCCAATATTGAGTATATACACAAAGGAAATTATATCAGTATGTCATTACAGCATTATTCACAATAGCTAAGATATGGAATCAACCTTAGTATCTATCAATAGATGAATGGATTGAAATCAGAATTCATGTTGCTCTGACAGGATCTCTTTTCAAATTGATATCTTTTCTTTTTTAAGAGATTTATTTATTTGAAAAGCAGAGTTGGAGAGAAGGAGAGATAGAGATAGAGAGAGAGAGAGAGAGAAGACTTCCATCTGCTGGTTCTCTTCCCAGTTGGCTGCAACGGCTGAAGCTGGGAGCCAGGAGCTTTGCCGGGGTCTCCCATGCAGGCCCAGGGGCCCAAGGACCTGGGCCATCTTCTATTGCTTTCCCAGGCCATAGCAGAGAGCTGGATCAGAAGTGGAGCAGCTGGGACTTGAACCGACACCCATATGGGATGCTGGCATAGCAGGCGGCAGCTTTACCTGCTATGCCACAGTGCTAGCCCCAGGAATATATATTTTGTTAAAGATTTATTTATTTGAAAGTCACAGTTACACAGATAGAGGGAGAGACAGAGAGATTTTTTTGACAGGCAGAGTTAGACAGTGAGAGAGAGACAGAGAGAAAGGTCTTCCTTCTGTTGGTTCACTCCCCTAATGGCCACTACGGCTGGTGCTGCGCCGATCTGAAGCCAGGAGCCAGGTGCTTCCTCCCAGTATCCCATGCGGGTGCAGGGACCCAAGCACTTGGGCCATCCTCAACTGCACTCTCGGGTCACAGCAGAGAGCTGGACTGGAAGAGGAGCACCCGGGACTAGTACCTGGTGCCCCAACTGGGACTAGAACCCAGGGTGCTGGCGCCACAGGCGGAGGATTAGCCAAGTGAGCCACAGCACCGGCCAGAGAGATCTTTTATCTGCTGGTTCACTCCCCAGATGACCACAATGGCTGGGGCTGACCAGGATGAAGCCAGGAGCTAGGAGCTTCCTCTGGGTCCTTAAGTGGGTGGCAGAGGCCCAAGTTACATGGGCCATCTTCTGCTGCTTTCCCAGGATGTTAGCGGAGATCTGGGTTGGAAGTGGAACAGCCAGGACTCAAGCTGGCACCCATATAGAATGCCGGCCTTGCAGGCATTGGCTTTACCTGCTATTATACAATGCTGGCCCCAGGAATATAATTTAAAGATGCTGATGATTATACTTAAAATTTGTAGTTATAAAATACACCTGATTTATATTTTTGCAGGAAGTTTTAAAAAATAATTTTCCTTCTTTGGCCTTATTATCTTTTTCAATATATTATTTCAGAATAGTTTTAAATATATAAAATTGTGAAGTAGTAGTATAAAGAGTTATCATAAACCCTACACCGCCCTTCTCCTATTAACATCTCATATTAGTATATTTTTCACAATTAATGTACCATATTCAGCTTTCTCTAGCATTTTTTTTAAGATTTGATTTATTTATTTGAGAGGTAGAGTTACAGACAGTGAGAGGGAGAGACAGAGAAAAAGGTCTTCTGTCTGCCGGTTCACTCTCCAAATGGCCGCAATGGCCAGAGCTGTGCCGATCCGAAGCCAGGAGCAGGTGCGTCTTCCTGGTCTCCTACATGGTTGCAGGGGTCCAAAGACTTGGGCCATCTTCTACTGCTTTCCCAGGCCATAGCAGAGAGCTGGATTGGAAGAGGAGCAACTAGGCCTAGAACCGGCGCCCTTATGGGATGCTGGCGCCGTAGGTGGAGGATTAACCTACTGTGCCATGGTGCCAGCCACCTCTAGTATTTTGTATCCAAACTTCTACTATTGTTTCCACCCCTCCTAGCTTCAAGTAAGTAATAATCTGTGTTCAGATTGAATGGGCTTTTTAAAAAAAATATTTATTTATGGCCGGTGCCGCGGCTCACTAGGCTAATCCTCTGCCTGCGGCGCCAGCACCCTGGGTTCTAGTCCTGGTTGGGGCACCAGTTCTGTCCCAGTTGCTCCTCTTCCAGTCCAGCTCTCTGCTGTGGCCCAGGAATGCAGTGGAGGATGGCCCAAGTCCTTGGGCCCTGTGCCTGCATGGGAGACCAGGAGAATCATCTGGCTCCTGGTTTCGGATCAGCACGGTGCACCCGCCGCAGCACGCCGGCCGCAGCAGCCATTGAGGGGTGAACCAACAGAAAAGGAAGACCTTTCTCTTTGTCTCTCTCTCACTGTCCACTCTGCCTGTCAAAAAAATATTAATTTATTTGAAAGGCAGAGTTATAGAGAGGATGAGGGAGAGGCAGAGAGAGAGAGAGAGAGAGAGAGAAAGAGAGAGAGATTGAGAGATTGAGAGATTGAGAGAGAGAGAGAGAGAGAGAGAGAGAAAGAATATGTCTTCCCTCTGCTGGTTCACTACCCAAAATGGTTGCAACAGCCAGGGCTGGGCCAAGCCAAAGCCAGGAGCCAGGAGCCAGGAGCTTCATCTCCTGTGGCGCAGGGGATGTGGGTGCAGGGGACCAAGCAGTTGGGCCATCCTCCACTGCTGTCCCAGGCACATTAGCTGGGAGTTGGATCACAAGTGAAGCAGCTGGGACTTGAACTGGCACCCACATAGGATGCTGGATGCTAGTGCTGCAGGTGACAGCGTTACCCACTATGCTGTGGTGCTGGCACCGAGTGGGTATTTTTTTTTAGCTCCCACATAGGAAGAACACGAAGTACTTGTTTTTCTGTGTCTGGCTTATTTCATTCAAAATGACTTCCTTCAGTTCCATCCATTTTACCGTGAACAACAGGATTTCCTTCTATTTTTAAGAACTGAATAATATTCCATTATGTATACATATATATATATATCACATTTAAAAAATCCATTCATCTGATCATGGACACCTTGGTCGATTCCATATTTTGGCTATTGTAAACAGTGCTGCAATAAACATGATGGAGTAAGTATCTCTTTGATACAATGATTTCATATCTTTTGGATTTATATGTCAGAATGGCTATTATCAAAAAGACAGAAAGTAACAAATGCTGGTGAGCATGTGGAGAAAGGGGAACTCTAATACAGTGTTGGCTTAATTAATGTACACTTTTATCTGACAGAATGTTTGCAACAACATAGACAGGCAAAACATCTGATGTAAGGCCGGCGCCGCGGCTCACTAGGCTAATCCTCCGCCTAGCGGCACCGGCACACCGGGTTCTAGTCCCGGTCGGGGCGCCGGATTCTGTCCCGGTTGCCCCTCTTCCAGGCCAGCCCTCTGCTGTGGCCAGGGAGTGCAGTGAAGGATGGCCCAGGTGCTTGGGCCCTGCACCCCATGGGAGACCAGGAAAAGCACCTGGCTCCTGGCTCCTGCCATCGGATCAGCGCGGTGCGCCGGCCGCAGCGCGCCAGCCGCGGCGGCCATTGGAGGGTGAACCAACGGCAAAAGGAAGACCTTTCTCTCTGTCTCTCTCTCTCACTGTCCACTCTGCCTGTCAAAAAAATAAATAAATTAAAAAAAAAAAAAAACAACATCTGATGTATTACTATTTCAGGGAGACTGACTCAGGGCTTAGCCTAGCAGAGTGAATAGCTGATTGGTGGAATGGCTCAGATCTAGTTGGTGAGGAAATGTAAGATGAGGCATTCTTAGATAGGAAAGAGATGTGAATGATGAAGCAATTTCAATGAAGGTCTTGAACAAATTAAAAAATGTTAATATGAGGCAGTTATAGATCAATTACTTTAAAGCTAACACATACCTCTGGAACTGAAGCTTCCATCAGAGACAGTGGAGGAGGAACACATCCACCATCTTGTGCAATTTCAACTGGTTGATAAATAACCTCAGAAGGTTGCAGGTATAAGAATGGAGTAGAAGAGGCCGGAGACTAAAACACAAAACCATATTTCTGATTCTAATATGATTAGTTATAAATGACTTACCAAACAGATGAAAGAAATAGTTGTTTCATAATTTCTTAAAACTCCTTCTCAGGGATAGCCTAGAAGTATCTTAGTAATAGACTAGGAACCTTGGGTTGTTATAAATTACAATTGTGTAAATGTCATTAAAGAATGTTATTATTGGTTAAGTACTGAAAATTCTTAGTGTCTCAGGACTTCATAAATAAACTCAGATAATTGTGGATATATTATCAGCACTAAAGGTTATAATAATATGCTATATAGTATTTAAATTGGTATAAATGCCAACTATTAGCTTTGTGACTTCCCACAGAAGTGGATAATGCCATTAAACAATTTTTTATTGTTATACTATTTGTTATTAAAAGCTGGAAAACAATACTTTAGAAGCAGAAATCAAACAGAAGCAAACTCCGAAGTGAAGCTAAAAGAATGCTATATTTTACAATAAAATGTAATTTTTCATGTTTACACAGCACTTACTTATTAATTAAATGTTTCACTTACATTATTTCATTTTATTTTCATAAAAATCATGTTAGGAAACTTACAAAGGTATAGTATCCTTATGTGTATCACACAAATGAGGAAAAAGAGAACACAGTGATTAAATGAATTGTCAAGAGGATCACGGTTAAACCTAGGTCTCAAACCTAGCTGTCCTGACTTCGGTATTCATGCAGTCTTCAGAAGAATACAACTAAAAAAGGATTTCAGAATGGATATTGAAAATTAATATTTACCTGAGGAATACCCCACTGCCACTGTCCTGGTAGACACTGTGCAGGGGCCTAAAATGGAAAACAAATAAACAAAAACAAATTAACAAAAAAACCCCACTGAGGTTATAAACAAGCCTTAAAACTGAATGTCTACATATGAAAGAATGAAGTTGGACCGTCAATCCTATACAAAAATTGAGTCATATACAAAATTAATTCAAAACGGATCAGAGACCTAGATAATATATTATAAAACTCTATGAAGAAAATATAGGTATAGATCTTGATGACCTTGAATTAGGCAATGTTTTTAAAATTACAACATAAAAATATAAACAAAAAGCAACAAAGTGAAAAAAATAAACAGGACCCCCAAAAATATCTTTTCAAAACTTTTATTTTGCAAAGGACACCTTTAAGGGAATGAAAATACAACCCATATCATTGGAGAAAATATTTACAAATCATGTACCTGATAAAGAATTTGAGAAAATATTTACAAATCACTCATCTGAGAGGGAACTTGACATTAAGAATATATAGGGTGGCCCGCGCCGCGGCTCAATAGGCTAATCCTCCACCTTGCGGCGCCAGCACACCGGGTTCTAGTCCTGGTCGGGGCGCCGGATTCTGTCCCAGTTGCCCCTCTTCCAGGCCAGCTCTCTGCTGTGGCCTGGGAGTGCAGTGGAGGATGGCCCAAGTGCTTGGGCCCTGCACCCCATGGGAGACCAGGAGAAGCACCTGGCTCCTGCATTCGGATCAGCGCTGTGTGCCAGCTGCAGCGCGCCGGCCGCGGCGGCCATTGGAGGGTGAACCAACGGCAAAGGAAGACCTATCTCTCTGTCTCTCTCTCTCTCACTGTCCACTCTGCCTGTCAAAAAAAAAAAAAGGCCAGCGCTGCAGCTCACTGGGCTAATCCTCCGCCTAGCGGCGCTGGCACACCGGGTTCTGGTTCCGGCTGGGGCGCCGGATTCTGTCCCGGTTGCCCCTCTTCCAGGCCAGCTCTCTGCTGTGGCCAGGGAGTGCAGTGGAGGATGGCCCAGGTGCTTGGGCCCTGCACCTCATGGGAGACCAGGAAGGGCACCTGGCTCCTGGCTCCTGCCACCGGATCAGCATGGTGCGCCGGCCGCAGCGCGCCGGCCGCGGCGGCCATTGGAGGGTGAACCAACGGCAGGGAAGACCTTTCTCTCTGTCTCTCTCTCTCACTGTCCACTCTGCCTGTCAAAAAATTAAAAAAAAAAAAAGAATATATAGGGGCCGACGCTGTGGTGCAGCAGGTTAAAGCCCTGGTCTGAAATGTCAGCATCATATGGGTGCCAGTTCTAGTCCTGGCTGCTCCTCTTCTGATCCAGCTCTCTGCTATGGTCTGGGAAAGCAGTAGAAGATGGCCCAAGTCCTTGGGCCTGTACCCACATGGGAGTCCTGGAAGAAGCTCCTGGCTCCTGGTTTTGGAACGGTGCAGCTCTGGCTGTTGCGGCCATCTGGGGAGTGAACCAGCGGATGGAAGACCTCTCTCTCTGTCTCTGCCTTTGCCTCTCTGCAACTCTGACTTTCAAATAAACAAGTAAATCTTTGTGGGGAGCAACTCGGACTAGACTAAGTTACTGGAATTAAGACTTATTCTAGGGCCGGCGCCGCGGCTCACTAGGCTAATCCTCCGCCTAGCGGCGCCGGCACACCGGGTTCTAGTCCCGGTCGGGGCGCCGGATTCTGTCCCGGTTGCCCCTCTTCCAGGCCAGCCCTCTGCTGTGGCCAGGGAGTGCAGTGGAGGATGGCCCCGGTGCTTGGGCCCTGCACCCCATGGGAGACCAGGAAAAGCACCTGGCTCCTGGCTCCTGCCATCGGATCAGCGCGGTGCGCCGGCCGCAGCGCGCCGGCCGCGGCGGCCATTGGAGGGTGAACCAACGGCAAAGGAAGACCTTTCTCTCTGTCTCTCTCTCTCACTGTCCACTCTGCCTGTCAAAAAATAAAAAAAAAAAAAAAAAAAAGACTTATTCTATGCATCTGCTCTCCCACAATATGGCGCTGGGAGAGGAGGCAACAGCTTCTACCCAGCTGCCTCTCACCAACTTGACAAGCTGCAGGAGCTGCTCCTGATTGGAGGAGAGCAGTGTACTCGGCGTGTGGGTAGCAGAGTTGGGATTGGTGGAAGAGGACTATAAAGGAGGAGAGAGACAACATGCACCAGGAACATCTAACAGGAACATCTATCTGAAGGAACACCTGTGCAGCCCCCGAGAGAGCCGGCCGGCGGTGTGCCACTCCCCCGCGGAAGTGGGGAATGTGGCAGGGGGAACCGCCCTTCCACGGAGGTGGAAGGGTCGGTAGCCAACCCGGGAAGAACCAGCAGCAAACCTGGGGAGGGCCGAGCAGACAAAAGAACAGCGCAGGGTCCTGTGTCGTTCCTCCATGAAGACGGGGAGCAACAAATCTCAAATTTATTTTATTTATTTGGAAGACATAGAGTTAGAGAGAGAGATAGAGACTCAATAATAAAAAGGGTGTTCACTGAGCATCTATGTGCATGTAGGCAGATGGTTAAGCAGATGCCCCAGCCAGTGTTGTTTGTGTACAGGTAACACCTGTCATTAACTGATTGCAGGAGCAGTTTTTAGAAAACTTGTAACTCATCAAATCATTTCAGGTAACTAGAGGATAGACATCCACGCCCACCTATCATATAGGAAACCCACTTTGCACCCCTCATTATTGGGGGCAGGACTGCAGGAGGAGGCATGGTGTTCCCATGAGTCACGTGGCCCAGCAGATTACCAACGAGGACTTTGCTATGGTTGATTACATAGTATGTACAGATAAAAGCAATCTAGAAATTTGAATATAGAAAGTAATCAAGTTAAAAATTGTAAAGCTAAAATTGAAGTATTTGGGAGCTACAATCCACAAAATAACTTATTATGTACTGAAGATCCCTATTATGGGAATGGCTTGAACTTTGAGACAGTGTACCAGCAGTGAGTCAGGTGCTGCAGGGCCTTCCTGGAGAAAGCCTGCTGGGACTCGATGGGCCCTGTGGGCTACTGTGTACTGAAATGTCATGATATTCCCTAGGCCCCACTTGTGTCTTCAATTGACTGTTTCTTATAAAATAACTGTTGATGGAAATTAGCTGTATATGTAAAAGAATAAATAAAAAGTATTCTCAGAGTAGTTGAAACTTCTACTCTGCCCCAGTTACAAAAATAGTGGAAGAGACACCATATGGAAAACAAAGTAGACCACAATGAGTACAGAGTGTCTTGAAGACCCAGGTCAGCAGCTGAGCCTTTGCAGTGTTGACAGGATGGCTTCCTCAGTGTGTGCATGTGGGTGGGATGCTGATACAGGATGGGTGCACTCTGCTTGCCTCACGACCTCTTTTCTTGGCCTACAGCCTTTTATAGAATTGCAATAGACTCTTCCATAGGAGCACACAGTCCAGATTAGAAGTAATTTAATTCATATGCCCACAGTGCAGGCTAATATATTTAAAAGACAGAAAAGAGAGAAATTGTTATGGAATTAGCACTTCTAACAGTTGTTGATTTTTGTTTAGTTTATTTCATGAGGAGGTCAGCTTATTTCCTCCCTTTTGAGCCACTCTGTCTCTGAAATTTTAATTATATCCAGAAAGAAGTATACTTGCATGCTGGCTTATCTTACAGTCAGCTGAAGAATATATCTGCTTTTATTTGCACATGTAAACTAAATGTCAAATATAAATTGGCTTAGGTGAGAAAATCTAATTTAAAAAGTTGGAAAAAGTTCTATTATGTTGGCGTACTTAAGAATTGGTATTTAAAAAAATTTTTTTTTATTTGACAGATAGAGTTAGACAGTGAGAGAGAGAGAGACAGACAGAAAGGTCTTCCTTCCGTTGGTTCACTCTCCAAATGGCTGCTATGGCTGGCGTTGCGCCGATCCAAAGCCAGGAGCCAGGTGCTTCTTCCTGGTCTTCTATGTGGGTGCAGGAGCCCAGGCACTTGGGCCATCCTCCACTGCCTTCCCAGGCCACAGCAGAGAGCTGGACTGGAAGAGGAGCAACTGGGACTAGAACCCGGTGCCCATATGGGATGCTGGCATTGCAGGTGGAGGATTAACCAAGTGAGCCATGGCACAGGCCCCAAGTATTGCTATGTTAATAAGTATTCTTTCATTAGCATTCAAGAAATTTATAGGAAATTGGGTAACTTTTGTATACCTTCAGATAACAAATCCCAAATGTATATAGTTGTATGCCAGAAAAGATTGTTTTCAAAATAAAGCAGGGAGCTAAAAAAATACAAATGAGATACAAAAAAATTTAAAAAGACAAGTAAACCAAATTAAATATGGGCAAATGAGGGGTGGGTGCTGTGGCACAGTGGTTTAAGCTGCTGCGTGGGATGCCAAGCCCCATACTGGAGTGCCCCTGATGGGGTCCTGCTCTTCTTCTGATCCAACTTCTTGTTAATGTGCCTGGGAGGAAGCAGACAAACATCCAACTACTTGGGTTCCTGTGACCCATGTAGATGACCATTATAGTCTCTGGCTCCTGGTTTCACTCTAGTCCAACCCTATCTATTGTCTGTTGTGGGCACTGGAGAATGAATTAGGAATGGAAGATTGATCTTTCTCTCTCCTTCCCTCTTTCTCACTTTGCCTTTCAAATAAACAAGCAAATAAAACAAAAAAATGGGCAAAAATGATGTGGCCAAAAAGCACATCAAAAAATGCTGAACATCATTAACCTTCAGGGAAATATAAATCAAAACTATAATGTGTTACTACTTCATATCCACTAGGATGGCTACAATAAAATGAGCAGATGTTAACAAGTGTTGGAAGGATGTGGATAAATTAGAACCCTCATTATATACTGCTGGGAATGTAAAATGGCTCAGCTCTTTTGGAAAACAGCCTGATACTTGCTTAAAAATTTGAATACAGAGTTACACATGACCCAGCAGAGTTGTAAGACGTAAGAGAAATGAAAAAATATGTCCACAAAAACGTATACAACAATGCTCATTATAGTATTAATTATAGTATTATTCATAATAGCATCAAAGCGGAAAAACTCAAGTAGTCCA